TGTCATCTGAGCATCTGCCTCTTTTTCCATCCTTATGTCAATATCTCCTCTCCACTTCACGCAGTACTTTAAGCTCAGATGCAAATACGTTTCTTCCTTAAGACTCCCCAAGTCAGTTTCACCTGTTGAGAGTTCAATTTCCCTCAGACTCCTTCCATCATGCATCACTACGTCATTCACTGAGATAATGGGCCTTAACATTACTTTCTGTTCCTTCAACTGTCCTCAAGGTTCTTGTAAATCTTTCCCATAATCATGGTCTTTAACTTTGAAGCTATGTTATTATAGTATTCCCCTTGGACAGTCCCTTTTATCCCTGCCTGATTCTCTTGAGGTGTAGTCAATGTTTGTCTCCTCCAAACACAAGTAATACATTTTCCTGATGAGTTTTAAAGGAGATAGTGACCCAAAGACATCATATGCTCCGTCTCTTCCTTCTACCACCAGACTTCACCTTTCAGACCCCTACTACATCGTTTGCATTCTTCCTCATGTCTGTGTTTTCCCATAGCTCTAAATTCCTTCTCTGCCATCACCACAAACTGGCTGTACCTCAGCTTTCCAGCCTTCTATCTTCCTATTATTGCCATCATGCTCAACAAACTAAAAGTCATTCTCTGGGCCCACCTTTTTCTAGAAAGTAACAAAACATTATATATCACAAATATTCTTCCTTTCCTGCTGCTTATCTGTAGGTAGTATATTCTGGAGATTAACCCCGTGGGTGAAGCCTGAGAATATTTATTTAATGTACATTATGGCCAAGCATTATGTTTCATACTTCTCATACATGTGTCTCCAAGTCTTACATTTGCTACATACCAACCAGGACCTGAAATGTATAGAGCAAGTATTAAAAATATGTAGATAAACCAGACTCATGCCTGTAAATTTAGCCACTCAGGAGACTGAAGTCTGAGGATTGTGATTCAAACTACCCAGCGAAAACAAGTCTGTGATAAGGTGAAAAGTCTGATCTCTAATCAACCACCACAAAGGCAGAAATGTGGCACAAGTGATAGAATGCCAGACTTGATCAAAAATGTTAAGGAATAGTACTTAGGCCCTGAGTTCAAGCATCAGTATTAACACACACACATACACACACACACACACACACACACACACACACACACACAGAGTCAGAAAATTAGTTTGCATTGCTCCCAATAACTTTTCAACAGTGCCAGAATAAAGTATTAAAATAACATGATAGTGAATCATTAAGTAGACTATATAAAAATTTTTATGGATTTCTAGTATTAAAAAACTTTTTTTAATATAAATCTCTACCTGAAGCCAGGCACCGGTGGCTCACGCCTGTAATCCTAGCAACTCAGGAGGCTGAGATCTGAGGATCATGGTTCCAAGCCAGCCTGGGTAGGAAAGTCCTTGAGATTCTTATCTCCAATAAACCACACAGAAAACTGGAAGTGGCGGAGTGGCTCAAGTGGTAGAGTGCTAGCCTTGGGCTGAAGAGCTGAGGGACAGCGTTCAGGCCCAGAGTTCAAGTCCCATGTGTAACAAAAAAAAATCTCTACCTGTCATTCAATTGAGTGGGTTATAGAGTTCTCAAAGTATAAATAAACTGCTTAAAATTGCATTCCTGGGCTACTGATATAGCCCAGTGGTAGAGTGAACATCAAACATATATAAGACACTGAGCTTCATTCTTAGCACCACAAACATAAAGAAATCTATCAATAAGAATAAATATTCAAATTTCTTTGTAAATACTACTGTCTTACTCACAGTTGAGATATAAGTAAATAATATGTTTACAAATTAGAAAAATACTTTAACAATGAGAATAACCAATGTCAGTAAAGATACAGCACAGCAAGGATGTTTATTCAATACGAATAGGGCTACATGTAGAAACATCCTTTTGGAAAACAGGTGATAGTGTATACATCAGATTTTTTTCAGATATTTATGAGCTTATTTTTGGCATTAATAACTGTTAGAAACCTATTTAAGAAAAATAAGATAAAAAAAATTTATGAACAAGTTGGGTGCCAGTATTTTATGCCTGTATTCCTAGCTACTCAAGAAGGCTGAGATCTGAGGATTGCAGTTTGAAGCCAGCCCAGGCAGGAAAGCCTGTGAGACTCTCATCTCAAATTAACTGCACAAGTAGTTGGACACACAGCTGTAGCTCAAGTGGTAGAGCATTAGCCTAGAGCAAAAAGCTCAGGGACAGCACCTGGGCCTCAGGGCCCCAGACCTGGTATGCATACACTACACCACACACACACACTCACACACACACACACACACACACACACACACACACACATGCAATATATATATATATATATATATATATATATATACATGTATATACATACACTTTTTCTCTGTCATTCCCTCTCTCTATATATAATATTCCACTGCAGTGCTAGTTCAAAAAGATACATTATAAAGCAATCTAAATATATGATAATAGAAATATGCTTAAATAAATCTTGATCTGCCTAATCAAACTAATATAACCAAACAGTAAAGAGTTTAGGATGATTAAAAAAATTATTAAAATGGTCATCGAAAAATCAGTATATACATGCACTTACAGATATAAAAAATTATTACAAGCAAATGAGAAAAGCCATAAAAAACATTGCTATGGATGTTTCTATGTTTTAAGACTGTAAAGAATTTTTCAACGTTTATTTTTTTACATTTTTTCACAGTAAGCTTACATTTGTAATGATAGAATTAACAAGTGTTTCTTTAATGAAAAGTTTGGAATTAGTACACATACGGAAGCTCTTTTACCCTTCTCTAAAAGCGAGTAACTGACTAACTCCAGGAATAACAATAAAAAGATTCTTTTGAGCTGAATTATCACTCAGAGCCATAGCAGTATATTTTCCCAAATGTGTTCATGTTCATGATACCAGTGACTGGCGTTACATTAGTTGACAAAAATATTACATAAATGAAATAGGAGTTGACAAATTGTTTCTCTAAGAGGATACAGTAAAGGTAAGTTGCTAAAAGAAAAATACTATAAATTTGTTTGGAGTTGGTGTTATCATTCAGCAATGGGGGGAAATCATTAAAAAAATATAGAAAAACTTCACACTCAAATTGCTGTTATAAATGTATTCAATTCTTGCCAAAAACTGGTGGCTCATGGCTGTAATCCTAGCTACTCAGGAGACTGAGATGTGAGGATCGTGGTTTGAAGTCCATGAGACTATTTTCTCTAATAAACTACAAAGAAAACAGCTGGGAATGGTACTGTGGCCCAAGTGGTACAGCACTAGCCTAAGCAAAAGAAGCTCAGAGACAGTGCCCAGGTCCTGACTTTAGCCCTAGAACTGGTGTGCACAGGAATGTGCACATGACTTCAGCCCTAGAACTGCAGTGTGCAGGAGGGTACACGTGAGTGCAAGCACGCACACACACATGCACACACACGTGCTCCACATGTATTTAATTATTTTCCTTCAAAGAACAGAAAAAATAGGGCATACTATCTAGGACATGGCACATGGTATTCATGTGATTGAAGGCAGAAAGACAAATGGATCCCTAGTTGCTACATTTAAGTCCAAAATATCAATTTGATATTTTAATGTGTGTTTAAATGTTTCAAGCAAAAGCACACCGATATGCTAAAAGTTCAGAGTTGCTTGAATCAACTTTATAGAGGAACCTGCCAACTCCTTGTCCTCTCTGGTCATTGTATATAATACGTACTAAAAAAAGTTACTTCTAACCATATCTGTGTTATAATTTTTTAAAAAAATAATGTTATGCATATGCTTAAAGAAGTGAATTTATGTGTGCAATATAAAACAGATATAAAACTAATGCATATATATATGCCTGTATATACATATATATACATATGTATCTATACATATATATATGTATACATCTATATATATGCCTGTATATACATACTATTCATATACCATGAAATTAACTACTCTACTGCTTGACCAAATCATGCAATCATGCAGTGGACCTTTCATAAGGAGGTAATTTAGCAAATTCAAAGTGTGAAATTAAACTTAGTGACAATGACTGTGGTGCATGTAGGCACCATAGTTCTGGTTGAAAGCATCGTGTTTAACTTACTGTTTCTTTATCCTTATCAGCAATGGCCAGAGCCAAAGAACTTTTTGTTCTGACATCCTAAGATTCACTTTCTGGTAGAATTCAAGTACCTAAACCTAAAGCACTTAGCAAGCAGAGAAGCACCATTGACAACCAACTCAGAAGTTTGCCTAGGAACTCTTCAGCGAGTCCAACGGTTCAAGCTCTTTTCTCTTCACATGAAGCAAAGACTGGCTAAAGAAGTTCAGAGATCCCAAAGGTCCAAGGAAATTACTCTTGTTGGAAAACACATAAGAACATTTTGTTTTGATGAATGGATATATTTTCAGTTTTCTCTTTTGCTGGAAAGATACAAAAATAGTGACATACTTTGGATAGCATTACGCTGCTAAATATAGGAGAGTGTGAAAATATTCCAAGTGAAGTATTGATCTCAGAAAAAGAAATGGAATTCAAGGATTTGTCCTTTGTTCTTTAGCTCAACAATCCTCCGCAAGTTCCTAAATATCTCTAAATCTCATTTCCTCAAATTAGAACTAAGAAACAACAACAACAAAACCTTACCAATATCCTCCTGAGGTCACTGTGAAATTTAGTAGAACCATTTCTATACCTGCTATAGTTATTGGATAGGCAATCCAATATGTTAACTTCTCCTCCTACTCAAGTTTCTACATCTTTATCTGGAATAGGATTCTTCAGAATCCAAAACAAAAATATACAGCAGAAGGTTCTGAATACAATAAATGTCTTCTGTGTAAAACACTTTTCAACTCCACTTGTCAGCATAAGCAACTGAAGGTAATTTGTTGATGACTTTGCTAACTTTGTTGGCACTCTTTCATTAATTGCATAGAGAATATATGTTGTAGGAACTAATAACATCTTTCCCATACACACAACATTTTCAGGTGGAATAGGAGGCTTACCTGCAGTTCCAGAGAGTTCCACACTTAAGGTTCGTTCAATAGTCTTGTTCTCAAATGGGGAACTCTTGGGGTCACTGGAAGATATGGCACATTTATAAAAACAAACTGAAATGGAGTTGCTGTAGCCAAACGTATTAGAATCCCCTTCCCTTTCTGAAAATGGTTGCATTTCTTAATACTTACTTTGGTGACTCTGGGGTCAGAGGAAGAGATAAAGTTGTTGGTTTGGCTAAAGGGAGGGGGAGAGAAAGAAACTAGTTATAAAATATTGAGTGTTCTGCAGATTTATTTTCTGTCTACTGCACTCAAGTTGGAAAAAGAGCCAGGAAACTGGGAATCTAAACTAAGGAAATCCTTGAATGTTGGATCAAAGTCAGACAACAGTCCATTATGCTAAAACAAATTCCAAACAACATTTGCATCAGTAAACTACCATTTGAAAACACGTACCCAAACAGAATTTTCCCCCAAAACGTATCATCCTGTTAAGGATACAAAATTTGCAGCATACCATCAGAGAAAAATAATGTTTTCTGTTTTAATTTGGAATATAGTGCACAGTTTGTTCAGACAAGAAAACAGCAGAGTAACTACAAGGCGACAGAACGTTATGAATATTCAGTTGATTTTACTCCTAAAATGTATAATTGTATATCTAGCCTTGAGAATAGGTTATGTCTATGAGGCCAAAGCTCAAGCAATAACCATTCCATTCACTGGAAATTAATTGAGAGATGATAGCAAATGGTGGACATTGACCCAGATGGCTTGAATGGAGTTCACATTGACAAATCCAACAGACAATTGAAATAAGAGACTATGTCAATCAGTTAAGAGTTGCATAGACATGCAATAAAGAGCTTATTACTTCCTTTCAACCTTTCCTAAATCTAACTTTCTACAGGAAGCAGTTCCTAGTAATAAAGGACAGGGATGATTAAAAAAAAAATCTTTCACCAATGTTTTAGCTACATCTTCATGTGAGTATTTCATTCTGAACAGAAAGAAGGGACTAGATGATAAGAAATATACTTAAGGCAGACATCCTTATCATGTGTACATCTCCATAAGCATATATGTGTGTCTGTGGAGATGTATGTATGTAGGTGTATGTCAAATTTTTCTCATTAAATAACCACTTTAAGAAGGTCAAGAGATAGTTATTTATGTAATAAAACTGATGGAGTGGAAACCAAAAGGGTCTTTGGAATAAATTTCTTTATGGATGAAAAGATAGAGACCTAAAGGAGCCAAATGATCTTTGCAGAGCTATAAAACTGGTTATTGGGGGCTGGGAAGGTGGCTCAGTGGTAGAGCGCTTGCCTTGCATGCCTGAGGCCCTGGGTTCGATTCCCCAGCACCACATAAGCAAAAAGAAAAAAAGCCAGAAGTGGCACTGTGGCTCAAGTGGTAGAGCGCTAACCTTGAGCTGAAGAGCTGAGGGACAGCGTCCAGGCTCAGAGTTCAGGCCTCACAACTGGACCCAAAAAACAAAAACAAAAACAAAACAGAACAAAAAACTGGTTATTGACAGAATTGGCCAAAATGGTGTTTTCTTTCTCCCATTATCAAAAGGAATTTTATTCAACAGATTTTAATGTAAATTAATCAATCCTACTAATTAAGGTGTTTTAAAATATGAAAATACTATTTATGTCCAATTAGCCTGAGATTAGGTACTTTACTTGGATATATAGTGTTTATATATTTAGTTTGTAGATTTAGATTTGGTTTTTAAACAGTTGAGTGCTATATGATCTATCTAATGTGCAACCAGAAATATGAAAAACATGCTAGCTTCTACATATTAGGTACATTAATTGTTTTTCATATGTATACAGATAAATTAGCTGATTGTACATTAATTTTTGAGTTTGTCTAATTTAATGAGCCTTCCAAAAGAATGAGTTTCTCCTCAGAAACTTTAGTCACTTTTATGTTCAGTGAATAATTAGGATAATATGTACAAGTTCTATAGAAAATACAACCTGAGATGTAATTATGTTCTATATCATACAATAAATGTACATTAAAAAGCAGAATCTGAAAATCCAGGTTTTGAGATGTAGAGAAGGCATTTGAAATGGTCAAAGGAAGGCCCTTAAAATTTTGGTATCTGGATGCAAGTAAAGCCAAAGCCAATGGAGGAAGAAGAATTGGCAGCTGCCATATTTAAATGGTACCAAAGGCAAACAGGAAGTGTAACCACAGGGAGAGTGCAATACCCAAAGCAGAAAGTCACTAGAGGATGCTGACTTGGTTTAAGGAAAGGTGCATCCACCTTGTTCCGAGGACCAGCAGACCAGAGAGTATGAAGGTGGTCTCTGTGGGGCTGAAATTTCTTTGTCATGCAGACTATATTGATTTTAGTTAAATGCACTTGTGAATGAATGAATGAGTAGATGAATAAATGTGCTACCCATATACAACAAGTCTAGACCATCATCCTAAGGAAACAAAATGAGCACAAAAGCACGATACCACAGAACAACTCAGGCAAAGTTTGTTGAGAACAAAATTCCAATGCATGAAGAAAGGTGACATCACAACATCTGCTGTCATTGCCTCTAACTGTTCATGTACTTCCTCCTTTCTCATTCTGAATATGAATGTCAGTAATCTCTGAGACGGCTTTGATTATTAATAGCCAGCCATGTTTCATTTCTTTTAGGCCTTTAATAGTGACAGGATTTATTTATTTATTTTTTATTTTTCCTTAATCAGCAAGCTTTGTTCTGGGATAAGCCTTTCATGCCTTACCAGAGATATATACCTTAAAATAATGCATATGTAGCTGGTCTCATCTAGAAAATGTATCCTCCAGAGGGCTCTTTAATTTTTCACTGCCAGGATTTGTAAAAGTTTACAGCAAAAACGAAAGATAAGTGCTTAAAAACACACTCAAAATTCAAAAGGGGTGAGAGCGAGAGAGAGAGAGACAGAGAGAGACAGAGACAGAGAGACAGAGAGAGAAAGAGAGAGAGAGAGAGAGAGAGAGAGAGAGAGAGAGAGAGAGAGAGAGAGAGAGAGAGAGAGAGGATGGGGGAGAGAGTGTTGCCATGTGTACCTGGTCTGGGTTTCTGTTCACAGAGTTTCACCAAGCTCAAAACAAAACTTCAGCTCCAGGATCAATATCTATGAGCACAGTAAGGCTGAGGGGAGCACAGTGAACGTTCTCTGCCCTCACATGAGCCAGCCCAACCAGCTTCCTTGTACCAGGCCTCAGCCCAGGCACCCCCTCAGAATGGGGGTCCTTGGTTTCTTAAAATACTATGACACATGGGGCTGGGAAGGTGATCCGTGGTAGAGTGCTTGCCTTGCATACATAGGGCCCTGGGTTTGATTCCTCAGTACCACATAAGCAGAAAAAGCCAGAAGTGGTGCTGTGGCTCAAGTGATAGGGCACTCACCTTGAGCTGAAGAGCTGAGGGACAGCGCCCAACCCAAAGTTCAAGCCCCATGACTGACCCTCTCCCCCCCCCAATAAAAAACATACTATGACACATTTGGCAATAGGTAGTCAACGGGGGCAAAGGGAGCTATTGAAGGGAATTTGGGCTCATTAAATACAACTTCCCAAACTGACACAGAGAGGTGGGCAGTAAATTTGCCTCTCTAACAGGGAAACCAATTGAGAGCCAATTTGAATATTAAAGGAAGCCAGGCACCAGTGACTGATGCCTGTAATCCTAGCTGGTTAGGAGGCTGAGATTTGCAGACCAAGGATCAAGGTTCAGTCAGCTCAGGCAAGAAAGACTATGAGCCGCTTGTCTCCAATTAACCAGCAGAAAGCTGGACACTATGGAGGGCATATCCTGATTTGTCTCAGAAACATCAGCCTCCTCATGATATATAACCCTAGATGTTGTAATATAGGCAATAATTTTTGAAAAAAAATTTGAAAAATGTCTGAATCCTTACCTACAAAATAAAATCTGTGGCTGGGCACTTGAAGCTCATAGTTGTAATTCTAGCTATTCAACAGTTTGACATCTAAGGATCCTGGTTCAAAGCCAGCCAGAGCAGTGGAGTCCGTATCACTCTTATCTCCAAGTAACTACCAAAAGGCTAGAAGTAGAGGTGTGGCTCAAGTGGTAGAGCAAAAAAAAAGTAAGAACACAAGGCTCTGAGTTCAAGCCCTAGTCCCAGCACAGAAAATAAATTAATTAATCTGTGAGCATACCAGGTATCCAAGAGAAGAAGAAGGAGGAAGGGGAGGAGGGAAAAAGGGGGAAGAGGAGGAGACAGAGGGGGCATGGGGAGGAGGAGAAGAAAGAGGAAAAACAGAAAGGAAGGAAGGGAAGAAGAAAGGAAGGAAGGAAGGAAGGAAGGAAGGAAGGAAGGAAGGAAGGAAGGAAGGAAGGAAGGAAGGAAGGAAGGAGGGAAGGAGGGAAGGAGGGAGGAAGAGGGAAAGGACGGAAGGAAGGAAGCAAGCAAGTAAGCAAGCAAGGAAAAGAAGGAAGCAAAAGAAGGAGGAAGAGGAGGAGGAGGAAGAGAGTGCACCCTATAATCAGAGTGTACATAAATATTTACTACTTCTAAAGGTAAAGAGAGCAAACACACTGTCTCATTTTCTCCATTAGTTAGAAGGCCGGAGGGGTGGGAATAATGCTATGTAATAATGGCTTGACTAGTGAAGCTTGCACCTAACTCCAGTGATCTCAGCCACCCAAAATTGTATACTAATCTCACAGCTGTGTGGTGTAATCTCCTCTCCTTCTAAGCTAACATTTCAGGTGTCCGTTGGCGGTTGTGACTTATGCTGCCTCCCAGCTGTCCAGCACCCATTCAGTCTGTCTTCACTGTGATAAAGTGCTAGATTCTTTTTCCACAGAGACTTGCCATTGGAATGTAGAACGAGGTTCCTGCACTGGGACCTACGCATGCCCTGCCTTCCCCCGGAGGCCTCCTCCTACCTTGTACATGTTGCGACTGTGTCTGTGTGTGAGACTTCTTTTTGGAGGTGCATTTGTCTCTGCTGCTGTTTCTGTTTTCTGTGGGTTTGGTGTGCGGAGGGTCATCATTTGTGGTCAGATACTTGAGAAGTTCTGAGCAGGGACGTCTCTGTGGCTTTTGCTGTTGACAAATGCTCTTCGCTTTATTGCTCCATGAATTCTCGGTCTTAAACACAAGGCATAAAAGAAGCTAAAATTAGTCAACTGAACCTTATGTGAATGGATATAGGTTTTCTGAAGAGATGAGATTTGCAGTGAAGTGTTCGGTCTAAGTATACTAGATCTATGAGCTGTGAATAATTGTTTGCAGAACAAGGAAAGAAAATTGCATTGAAAATTCCTAAATGACATTTATGCAGCTTTTTTATTTCATTTCTTCACCATCTCAATGTTTCTACTCAGCAACATGTAACTAACAAGACCCTACAGCTTTTACTGTGAATCAAAAAAAAAAAAAAAGAAGAAGAAGAAGAAGAAGAAAGAAAGAAAGAAAGCTGGTTTAAACCTTAATTTGCCGCTGATTGTTGAAGCCCAGTATTCACAACTCTCTTAAGTACCCCTTAACGCTCCGTTTTTCCTCACAGTGAACGGCAAGACAAACATTGTTTAATACAGACCACTAACCGGATTATGCCATTGCCAGCATTCTTCCCAATTAATGGCAGAGACAGATCTTTTGCAGTGATTCTAGAGCCATCTTTCTCAGGCTAGGCAGCTGGCAAAAAACCCATTCTGTATCTTAAAGTCCCTGGTAGCTAACATGAGCCCATCGGTACGTGTTGTTACAGCTCAACCTGCTGCATATATTACTAAACGAAGCAATGGGATTCATACATTTGTACTTTTTTTTTCTCAATGACCCAAACACAAAACACAAATTCTTTCTGGTTCCAATAGTTCAAGTGCTTCATTGCCATGCTGAGCTAACTGTGGACCCTGAGTTGAATCCATACAAAGTTAACAGTCCGTTTTATGAATCCACGCAGAAACCCCTTTGTTACCTTCCCTCTTGTATTAAGACATTTACATGTGTACCTTAACAACAGCAGGGTTTGTCCTGATCCTGGGATTGTGATTTGCATGGTTCTGGGTGCTGAGACCACTGCATTCATTATAACTCAGCTGAGTATTGGCAGGTGCCAGTAAGAGCTTCTTAAGCTAGAAATGTATCAGGGAAGGGAAAGCAAGAAAAGTTATGCATTGTTTCAGCTTCGATTAAGTCAACTAGAATTATTAACTTAAAATCAACTAACTAGAAATACAAATAAAAGTCTATCATCCTCTAATTATTATATCATGTCTTAGCACAATAGTGCTAAGTGAAATATTTTATGATAAGAAAGAAATGATAAAAGTATATCCTTTTCCTGTATTTGAGACCTAACATTGATAACCTTCTTTTAAATTTAAAAATTATGTTTATATATAATAAAGTATTTTTTCCTAAGCCAATTTTCATATCATTACTCCATGAGGGGAAATACATTATCTTGCTTATTTAGACCTTGGGAGCAAAGAAGAGTGTATATACATTTTCTTCTGCTAAGACCCCAATACAAATAACTAGGCACTGAAGATCATGCCTGTAATCCCAGCTACTCAGAAGGCTGAGATCTGAGGGTTATAGCTCAAAGCCAACCTGGGCAGGAAAGTCCATGAGACTCTTATCTGCAATTAACCAACAAAAAGCTGGAAATAGAGCTATGGCTTAAATAGTAGACTGTTAGACTTGAGCTTTTCGAAAAAGCCAAAGGACAATGTCCCAGCCCTGATTTCATGTCCCAGTACTAGGGAAAAAAAGTGACAATAAATGAAAGATTCTTTGATGCCTTGAACTACATTCCACAACAAAGCCTACAAATAGACTGACTGAGAGAATATGTGTGGGATAAAAGAGTGGTTTCAGAATGGTAAGGAAGGAGCTGTAAGTTGAATTTTGGTCAGTAGACTAGGCAAGGTAGATTCTGATACAGGCCAGACACTTATTGTTCCTTGACCTCTGTTTCTTCACTCAACTAGATAATGCTCAAGGACCTCCCTGCCCTGATGTACAGGTGATTTTGTTCAGCAACCCCTCCTGGCTGAATAAACTGTGTACATGAATATCATCTAGAATATCATCTAGTATCACATGCTAGATCCTAAAGCTAATAACAGATGAAAAATAAATAAGAAACCAGGGATATCACACAGGGGATATTCTCCCCAAGAGTAGAAATCTCTAAACACAAAGAAATATAAGCAAGTTCTCCATCTCTTATAGGGTGTTCTTTTAACACTAAAAAATTAAGAAATGCTTTTAGAGACATAAGAAAAACAACCTCCAAACAGCATACAGGAGCACATTATTAGAGTTTGGTCGAAGGCATTCCATAATTTATACAGCATATTATACTTCAGATTTATGGTAAATGACAAATGGCTACCGTACATGGTAAGGTAAACTGTCTCAGATCTAATAAAATTCTGGTGAAGCAATGCATGGAGAAGAAAAATCCACTCTTCATTGCCATCAAATTTGCTCTTCATTGCCTAACATAAATTTCGGTAAGTTAAGTTGCAAATGTACCATTATTTTTCAACCTTCATAAGAAATATGGATCCAAACTTTGAAAATATTACATATTCATATCTACCAATTCTCTTTCTAGATTTGAATGCATGCAATAAAAATGAGAGCATGTCCATTATTCTAACATTCATAATCATGACAAATGGGAGCAAAGTCACCCCCAAACATCTAACCAGAAGGTAATACTTAATTAATCACAATAAAGTATTATGCAACAGCTAAAAATTATGATGAATACACTTGATATTTACTGCCATGTTGAACATGTTCAAGATATATTTAAAATCAGAAGGCCATTTTCATCCTTTTTTTAATATTAGAAGGCTTTTTTTTAGTCACAGACAAGTTGTCTCTTCTTCCTAGGTGTCTACTTTTCTTATGGTTTTCCTTTGAATATAAATGATGCTAAGAAATAAAAATATATTCACATACAAACCAAGAAAGAGTTTAAAAAAAACCAGAAGAACTGTGTATCCTTAACACTTTTAACAGAGAATCACAGGAATTGCAACTATGAGCTCATTTGGGGATTGTTTGGTTATTAGACTAAATTAAAAAGCCCGACCTTATTGTTACTACATCATACCCATGGAGCAGGTAGCCACGGGCAACTCCGATTGCTGTTAAACAGTAGGAAGGGTTCTTACTAGAGACGGCTCTTCTGCCTCCTGAGGCGGAGGGGTGCCGTCAGGCATGGAGGAAGGACTGGCTTCGTGGTCAGTGGTCACGTCTCCATCTGTCAGTGCATCAAATGAAGGCAATCCGTCTTCATCCACAGGGAGACTGTCCAGTGTCTCTGTGAGGACTGCAAGCAAGTTCGCCTCATTCTCTTCATCTATCTTCTGCACAAACAGAAAAAAAAAGAACCCAGAAGACACCAGTGAGTTGACACTGACAAGTGGATCACTCTGTTAATCTGTTAATCAGCATAGTCTGAAACTTGTTGAGCCGAATGAATGAACTCTTATGTGAAATCTTCCATGTTCACACCAGAATAAGATGCTCATTTCTTCCACAACCTCTTAACTTTGTATGGATGGATGGTATGTAATTGTGTTTTGGACAGTTATTTTCTTGTGTCTTCTTAACTAAAAGAGAAGACTCAGGGAAAGTCTCAGAACTTGACAAAACTGTAGCCATCATCTATTTGATCTTCCAACATACTGCTTCGTTTCCTCTACAGCATAACTTCTGCCCCTCCCCCTGAAAAAAATTAGAAAACTTTCCATTTGAATGGTACCCAAAGAATCTATACACTTTCATGGTTTCAATTATAATCTCATCACTGAACACTAGAAAATCATTTATTTTTTTCTCTCACTCTGACATCTCTCCCAACTTGAGTCATAAATCTCTCACTGGGTATTTCTTCCTTCTAACAAACAGCTCCCTCATCTCTAAAGCCCCAACTTTGAACTTGTCACAGCAAAACTGCTTTTTTTTCTTGACTTCTTCAGTTTGGAAAACAATTCTTCAGAACTTAGTCTCTGGAACTACTTGGACTCCTCTTTATCTTACCCTTAACTGTGTAATGCCTTTTAAGAGCATTCATTCCTTGTAGCCACAAGTAGAATTCTAGCACTTGTATCATGGTGGTTTGTACAAATACATCCTAACTTGTCCTACCACCTTTTAGATTCATTCTCATCAGCACATCCTTGAAAAGCTAACTTTTCCATCACACATTCCATAAGCAGGTTTGAACCCTTAAACAATTCCAATAGCATGCTATGAATTGGAGATGCAGAGAGAAAGAAAGCAAAATGCCATCTCTTCAAGAATCCCTGCTAGCAGAAAGCAAGAGTCCATTTACAATTTTTGAAAGAGAGAGTATCAGTGTTAAGCCTCTGTACAAGAACACCGAAGGGCTACCATACTAGAGCTTACAGGCTTGCTAACAAGACAATGTGTTGTAGTCTGTATACCTGGACAGTAAGTCTTAGATCTGGGCCTTCAATAGAAATGGATTGTTAATGATCACTTGCTGAATAATTCATTGATATGAATTTATTTCTGACAATATATAATGCGGAGATAACTTTCTTTTCCTTCTCGTGACACTTCATATTGTTTGTCCAATTTGACCTGCTTTCAATGTCTTTTTTTTGTCAAGTTCTCTATTCTATGACATTAACAATATGGGCTAAATTATCCCACACAGATTCTATTACAAAATGCACCTAAGCTGCTGACACCTAATGAAGCCAGCAGAGCCCACACTTCCTCTCTCTCTCTAGCACTGAACTCCAGTTAATTGACCTGACAAAATTACAAGAATCACAGAATAAGACAGCTAATCAGAAAATCAAATTGTATTACTAGAGAAATTAGGCAGAGCTTTATCACGTATACATTCTATTTTCACATAAAAATTGTTTTCCCTCATTACTGACCACTCCATCTAGGAGTAAAACTAGACTTTTTTTTTTGCATTCAAGAGGCCAAGAAGAGCCATTTCTTCTCATAGTGGGCTTTAATTGGCTTTATTTTATATTATATTCATGTGGCATCTTGCATTCACTGTCCTGTGTTGGAGATTATAAGTAAAGTAACTTGGACATAAGTGATAGATGGATAGAGTTTTAAACCCTCACAAAGAAGCTAAAACCTAACTAAAAGTGGTAAATTTTTAACTTCAAAATGGCATACTTAACTTCTTCAAAGTGACCAATTGATTAAAATCTGAAGTATACAATTCAATAACAAAACCTTATCGACCTCTCCCCAGCTCTACTTCTCTTGGGCCATGTAGATACAAATGATCTAAATAAGAAAGTAAGAATATTTCCCTTAATTTCTGCCTACGATCATAATCTGGTAGGCACAACTTCTAAATACATCCTTTTATGTTCCCCAAGAAAGCAAATTCTCAACAAATTATGTCTAAATAAAATACACAGCATATGAAATCATCTCAGAATAATGAGATTTCCATGATTGTATATCTATATTATCTAACAAGATAACCTTTGCGCATGCAGACATATACACAGACCTTTAAGAAACTGGATATTTTTCACAAGTAACCCATTCTTAAAAGTTAAAAGCTTATTTCATGGAAGTCAAAGAACAACTCAGGAAAAATAGTTAAGAATGTTTACCAATAAATGAGTAATTTTGTTTACCTTGATTTAAATTTTGTGTTTGGCTTTCCAGCTCTAAGACAAGCTGCTATTTGCTTTCAATTATATAATACAATAGCGCCTTAGCTCTATCCCTTGTGTACACAAACTTCTATAATTCCAATCAAGTCAAAATGACAAAGACACTTAAATTAACTAGTTTTTTCCAATTTCTTTAATAAGACTGAGTTGAATGTATATCAAATACAATGGCAGAAATATGGGCCCTTGATAATGTCATAATAATTTACATGATTTGACTAAACCTCCTACTATTTTAATTCTCTACTCTCCTGGAACCACATGGTGTGTGTGTGTGTGTGTGCATGTGTGTGTGTGTGTGTTCATGTTGGAAATTTACTTAGGGGGCTTATATTCAACTAGACTGAACCACTAGGGTTATTGTATTCATGATATGTTCCACCTTCATTCAGAATGACCATTAATTATTGTTATGATATTATTATTATCCTCCCTCTATGTGAGTAGCTCAAAAAGGTACTCCAAGACCATTTATTTTAGTAAATTTCTGCTTTAATTACAGAAGAATAAAATAAATGCTAGGATCTCAACTTTTCTGTGTTTTCTTTAATTACAGAAGGCTGTGGAGAAAGCTTGATATTTATTGATGATACTTTCGTGTAGAAGCTCATCGCATATTCCTCCTCCACATAACATTGAGTGGACACAGCCGGCCCCTCACTGTGGCAATTTCAATTAGTTCTGTATAAGTTTTAACAATCATATGTCCCAGAGAAGGCAACGGATGTGACAAAGAGGACTCCGTTAAACAATTAATGTCACTCTCCATTATTGCTGCGGTCCCAATTTACAGAGCAAATAAATCAACGTCATTGCAGATGAAGCACAATGGCCTACGAACACGTCTGTTCACAAGTGACAAGGTGTGGAAACACATTAGTCAGTAAAATGACATTGCAAGATAACCTTTCAAAGACGTGGCCCTGATACCACTCTCCAATTGTTTGAAATTGCTTTTTTACAAAAATATACGTCTCAGCTCCTTCTGAGTTTAAAAAAAAAATAGTGACGCGGAGGGAAAACACAAAAAAAGACAAAAACCAGATCTCCAGTTGGGCAGGCATCTACAGCTCGTTCATGGCTCTGTCAGTTGAGATAGAAGGTAAAAGACAAAACCAGGCTAACAGGCATTTCCACAGTTGAGCTCTGTAACTATCAAGAATTATTTCCTATGGGGGGTTTCAACCTTGGCTTCTCCTTATACAATGTGATTCTCTTGCTCTTCTTCTGACCTAAATAAAGGTCTGTGTGCCTGTAAAACAGCTCTCTCCAAGGAATCGCCAGGAAGTAAGAAGGCACGGCAACAAAACCTCACTCTAGGTGTAAAGAATTTCCAATGACAGATGATATAGGAAGTCACTTACTCTAACCAATCACAACTTAGAATCAAATTTTAAAGGCTCTTCTCTGCTTTCTGGGACTACTGTCATGTCCCTAGATGACCTGTCCTAATTCTGACATAATCCAAAAGGCACAGTTGAAGAGCATGCCTATTCAAGTGTTTGTGGTCACATCAAGAATGAAAGTTTGGAGTTGGTGTGTGTTCTTGGCTTTCTTCCTTTGTGATCAGAGGCAAAGGATCCTTCAGCAGGTGTTATGTAGTGGGGCAAATGGTCCACTTGGTTCAGCCAACTGTATATACTACAGAATCCTACCTCCTCACAATGTAGGAAGAGATGTGGGACTCTGGGATGGGAACGGACACCTGAAGGAAGAAAGGCAGAGGGAAAACTGCATGTGGTATCCCAAAGATCCTAAATGGAGGCTATTATGGAAGGACCATGTCCTGCTTATGGTAGTAATTTTTTCTGCATCTTGTAGAATTGCAATTACACTCTGCGTCCCCAGATTCTCACACTCACTTGATCTCTGTTTGATAAAAATAGTTTAATAGCCATTTAATCACAGCTTCATTATCTTAGCTCTCTTAATGTGAATTAGGGCCACAAGAATTCTTGCTTCCTCATTATTCAAATCATCAATAAGAAGGAAACAGGGGGGTTGTCTTATCACTCATTAATCAGTTTCTGCTTCACAGGTACTGTTTATCCAGAGATCAATCTGTGTGAGATGTCACTTAACCTCTCTGAGCCTCTCTGGTTTTCAGTACAAAATTTGAGTTTATTTTTCATAACCTCTTTCTAATTATGGAATTTTTTGCACTCATGATTAATAGGATAAAAAATAGTTAATAAAGCCCAAGAATTCATCAAGATGGTACTTATGAACATTTACCAGTGTATATGCCCATCATCTTGATTATCCATATTTGAATTTCATTCTTCACTCACAATCTACTGTGACTTTCTGCTCTGGGCCAACTTTCCCCAAATACCCAGCATGCTTTGGGCTTCGTTCTTGCCCCATCCTGCTGATTTGGAAACAGCTAATGAAGACAAAATTAACTTCTACTTTAAGTGAGGCCTAATTAGGAAGGGAAATCTGCTCGAGTAACATCTGGTAGTGTATTCCAGAGCCAAATATAAATGACATTTTTGGATTATCCACTAGTTTGGATTACTTGTTCCACTAGGCCTCACCAGGAGTTCAAATAACTAAATAGAGAAGCAACTTTTGTGGTAGATTTAGGAGTTCAAATGATCAGAGGTCCCCTGGCCCGAATCTCCAGACTTAAAATCCGACACCTTGATTTCATGTAGAAACTGACAAAAAACCTG